CATGTGACAGCTTCCTGCTTAGTGTAGATATTTGCTAGCATATCACTGATCTTCAAATTTAGTCCAAACAGTTTTTTTATTGAAGCATGATCACATCACAAGCAAGAGATGCAATGTTTCAGAGTGACACAGGACCCCTTTGTCAGGCATGTGAGCAGCGTCCTGCTTAGGGCTCCTGGTTGTTAGGAACCTTTAGGGTCTGGTATGGATTTAAAAAAAATAAAAAATAAAAAAAGCATGGTGGCCCCTACAAGAATTCATAGCAGACTCTTATATGATCATGCAGCCCGGCAAGCTAGGAAAGTGCGGAAAAAAAGTGTTTCTCACTGCCTCCTGAACCATACTGGGCCACATGCCCTCAACATGGGAAGGATACCATGCAAGAAGGGTCCATATTTGATATTTGATTGATTTGATTTTTACAAAACTGAGTTTTTTAGAATATTTTTTGCTCATTACATGAACGTCAGGTAGTAATATAATTTAGATTACAAAACCTTCAGTTTATCTGTTTAACCTGTCCAGCTCTCCTAGAGTAACTGCTTGTCTCCTGGAATCTCCTCCATGCTCTTGAGACTGTGCTGGAAGACACAGCAAACCTTCTGGCAATGGCACGTATTGATGTGCCATCCAGGAGGAGTTGGACTGCCTGTGCAACCTCTGTGGGGTCCAGGTATCGCCTCATGCTACACTGACACTGATCCTATCCAAATACAAAACTAGTGAAAAACAGTCAGAAAAGATGAGTAGAGAAAAAAATGTCAGTGGCCTCCAGCTGTAAAACCATTCCTGTTTTGGGGGTTGTCTCATTGTTGCCCATTTAGTGCACCTGTTGTTAATTTCATTAACGCCAAAGCAGCTGAAACTGATTAACAACCCCCTCTGCTACTTAACTGACCATATCAATATCCCAGGAGTTTAATTGACTCGATGCTATACTATGATTAAAAAGTGTTCCTTTAATTTTTTTGAGCAGTGTATATTTATAAAACTGTATTTATTACAGTAGGCTAGAGTGAATACATATATGTATATTGTTGTTTAATCAAAGTGAATGCCATCATATGTGCAGCGCAGTCCAAAGTATACTTTTCCGTCATCACTGACCAGTTACACGAATGTGCTTGTGTTGTTTGTAAATATTTGTTTGTTTCGGGGTTGCGTGTGCCAGCACCCAACATAAACAAACTCTTCTATTTTAAGATTGGCTTCAGCAGAGTTGGAGTTTCAATTATAGCCAATGCTGGTGAAAATTACATGGCAGAAAAAGCAGTGGACTTATTTGTATCAGCCGTTTTCAAAGTAATTATAGTCTTCATTCTATAAGCATTATGTTTGTTACTACTGTGTTTCAGCAACACCCACTCAGTGGGAAATCTACCCAGCAGATCTGTTGACTTAAGCAGATAGACAGCATGGGACCACCCACTATACTCAGGCTTGGCGTGTGTTCGGAACTCCCCAGAAGATTGTTTGCACATATAATAGCAGCGGTACTTAGACTATGGCACTCAGGCTTTAGGCAGGCACATCTAATGTTCTCAGTCTGTTTAGTCATTAGATAAATATGTTCTTATCAGGATTGGAATATAATATAGAGTGAATATCTATACACTGTGCATACTTTTTTACATTTTCCAAAACTTCACAATGTGAGCACCTACCTAAAAAAAAAAACGTTAAAAACTTTTCAGTCAGTTAGACTCTTTTACATAGTTGTTGGTAGATCCAAAGAAAATTGTACAATCAAATTGTAATTGTATGTATGGTCAGCTTTAGGATGTCTTTGGAATAGACCAGCCTTGCTCAACCCTTTTAGCCCTAAGAAACCTTTGACATTATTTTCAGTTCTTAAGGAACCCCTGCTAAAACAATTTAATAGGAGAAATGTTACTGACATTGATGGTCAGTGGGAAGAATGCCCCAGTAGATTGGTGAACAGAATGCCACCCTTAAAGCGGAGCTCCACCCAAAAGTGGAAAAGATGAAGTTCTGCTTTAAGTCTTTGTCCCCTGCTCCCCAGTAAGGATTGGCACCTTTGGGGAGCGGGTACTCGAATTTGACAGGTACCCGCTCCCACTTCTGCTGCGATCATCTAAGGTGATCGGAAGCCAAAGTTGTCCTCTTCCCCTCCCTCCCCGTAGTCTTCTGGGACATGTGATAGGTCCCTGAAGACTACGGGCCATTCACAAAGTGCAGCGCTTCTCACGCATGCGCAATGGGCACCCAGCTGTGAAGCCGCAAGCTGCCACAGCTGGGGGCACACACTGAAGATGCTGGAACCAGGGAGAGAAGACAGCCGGTAAAACCAGCTTTGATGAGGACACCGCTGGACCGAGGGACAGGTAAGTGGCTGTATTTTAAAAGTCAGCACTACAATTTTTGTAGCTGCTGAATTTTATTTTTTTTTCTTTTCAGCTGGAACTCCGCTTTAAAGACGGCTGCAAAGAAAATTGGAGTAATGTAGCTGGCTCTGCCAGGTGTGTTGGCCTTGGAACTACGTATGCAGGCACCATCAAATGGAAGGTCCATTAGCCACAGGTCAAGGAACCACTAGCAACTTCTCGAGGAACCTTGGTTGAGAATGGCTGGAATAGATCATGGCTTCTTGGACTATGACATGTGTTTTAATGTCAATAAAAAGAGGAGAAGAGGGGCGCTGCCTAAATGGAGCCACAACACGCAGCAAGGGATGCAGGCATTCAACACTCCTAAATGTGTCCGCCCTGCTTGAAGGCAATCGAGTTTGGACTTACCCTACACCAAAGAGGCAAGTATTCAATGAAGTAGATTTACTAAAGACAAATATACTGTGCACTTTGCAAGTGCAGCTGTGCTAATTTTCCCCAGAGCTTAGTGATTGAAGTGAAACTTCACTTTGTAAAGAATACCCAATGCCCAATCAAGTGCAAGGTAAATAAAACAAATACAGCATTCTTGCTTGCACACGGTTCAATGATGGAAATTAGCAGAGCTTTACCACATTCACTAAGCTCTGGGGAAAATGAGTGCAACTGCACTTGCAAAGTGCACAGTATTTTTGGCTTAAGTAAATCAACCCCAATGTCTTCTATTGCAGGTAGCAATGCTTTAAATTTTTTCAGTTAAGTGACATTGTTGGGTGACCAGAGGCCAGTGGAGGAATTGGCAGTTAGGGGTGATGGACAACGAGCAGTTGGTTAGGTGAATAACTCTGAGAAAAACCTTCACGATAGACTGAAGAAAGGATAGCCTGTGTAAAGGTAGGACAACGAGGAGGGAGTGCTACTAGATGAAGTGAGAGATAACTAGGGAGTGAATTACAGTAGTAGCTTTGTGGTGTAATTTGTTAGGGTGAATTTTGAAAAGGTTACGGAGGTTAAGGGGGCATATTTTGGACAGTGATTGGCTGTGGGGATAAAAGGGGTTCAGTTCCACTATAAGATGAATTCCTGCTTTTCAGTGTGGTAGGCAGGGGTGTATTTACCACAAGGCAAACAAGGCATTTGCCTAGGGCGGCATTTTTCAGGGGGGGCAGCACTGCATCTTGGAAGAAGGGACAGAAGAAGGGACACACGCAGCATGGGGACCTGGTGGGTTCCAAGAGATGCTGTGGGTTTCATAACGGTGTATGCAAAGTCCGACTCTCGTTCCTGGGGATGTCCGGAGCTGTGAAGATGAGTGTCTTTCTCTCTCTCTCGCCATGGGGGATGGTGGCTGGTGTATGGGGGGCAGTGGTAGTAGAAGGCTAGGGTGGAGGGCAGGAGTGTTCTTGGTCAATGTTAGGCTGTTTTTGCAGGGGGGTGCCAAATACAGCACTGGTGGTAGGAGCTTCTCTTTAACAAAGCAAGCATGCTCCTGCATTGCCAATAGGTTTCTTGCAACCTTTAAACACAGAAGACTTTCAGAATCTCAGTATAATTCCATCCTCAACCAACAAGAAATCCTGAACCCTCAGGGCAAATGTTTCAGAGCTGAGAATAATAACAGACATGTCTCCATTCAAAGCTGCAGTCACAGAGTCTTGTCCATAACCAACGGAAGTTTTCTTTATATGTTAAACTGCTAATTGTCAGGAAAAGCGAAGGATTTCCTCACAAAGTCCAAAATATGCAAGGGAAAATCTAATACCGCAATGTTCCTGTCTGCAGAAGTCTCGGCATGCTCCAGAGTAAACAAAATGACTTGCTGTCACTGTGTAAGAAAACTTTCATTTATTTCGGCAGCACAAGGCAATCTCCACACCAAGGAATGTTTAACTCTTGTCTGATTGACAGGCCTTCCTGGTTTCTGCAAATATTTGGATGAAGATGAAAAAATAAAGTGAAAATATAAGTCCAAGTTTTCATAATAATACTGGTTTGATTGAGCAGATTTGTAAGTCATGATTAAAGTGAACCTGTCAGCAGCAAAAGATGGCTCAGATATGTAGTAGTCTGCTGATTTATACAAAGCAACTTGTTTTTTGGGTAAATTTGTTAAGAGTCTGGATAGTGTTACCATATAATACAAAATTCATTCTTGGTGCAGCCATCTTGAACAATTAAAGTGGTTGTAAACCTCAGATATGAAATTTTAACAAAGTATATCCCTCTACAGTGTGTACTGGTCGCAATCTAGAGCTTTTCTATCTGCTGCCCTGTTCCTATGTTATCAGTGTGAGTCACTTCTGATAAGTTGTTCTGACACCAAGAGAAAAATGGTGACAGGGGAGGGCACAGTCTTTGATTGACAGCCTTATTTCTGTTCCTGTTGGCTGTGTGAAGGGGGTGTGTCCTTTCCCTCCAATCAGCTCTCAGAGCTTTCCTCATTGATGTAACTTCAGCTCTTTGCCCCCTGCTTTTCAAAGCTGAGAATTTCTGTGTAAATTCTGCACTTTGAATAAATCTGTTTCACCTCTGTGTATCATCTGAGGCCAGTCACTTTTTTTTTTTTTCATTCAGTCCTCTGACTCAGTGAAAAAACCCCAAAACAAATGGATTTCTCCATCCACAGCAGAGAGGTGGGTGAAATCTCCCCTGCAGGGTCGGACTGACAATTTGGGAACTCGGGCACTGACCGAGGGCCTGGGGTCAGTAGGGGGCCCCATGAGATGCCCCTGGTACCTTTTTCATACCTTTTTTGAGTTTGGGCAAGGACACAGGGGCCCCATGATCCCTTATTGCCCAGGGGCCCCATGAGTTGTCAGTCCGCCCCTGCTCCCCTGCTGAGATATTGGATTCTGACCGCAGGCCTGTCATTGGATTCTGACAGCGGGACTCTTGACAAACGTTTTCCAGCATTCCTGTTTAACAAAAGTTGATCTAAGGATGGGCCTTAAAACGTTAGCCAAGAAGGACCCATATTGGAGTAGCTTGCTGTGCTGGTGACATTTCTCCCTTGTGATGCCTCTCGGTTCCAGCCAATGGTCACTACACAGCACCCACCTACATGTATAGCCATTCTTTGATGCAGGAACGTGTGCATTGGAGTTTTGGAATTGTCCTTAACGTTAGCTGTACGCGTATATATGCATCAACCAGCTTCGCTGTTCTGTGCTAGTAGCAAACTCACTGTATGATCTCAGGACGGGCTGAGCTGTTACAGGCAGCTCCTGGTCACCACTTACGATTAGAATCTGGTTGATGGGGCTCCCAATCATGTGACCCCTGTGACTGCTAATAACAACAATCACATGATCAGGATCTGCTGCCTCCCATTTTTCAGAACCCCTTAAAGGGGCATCAAGAGCCAACACCAAGGGGTTTATTATAACAGGCATGTGTATTCTTACTTCAATCTTGGTGTGCTTTGTGTATTTCTTCCAGATCCTTGCAGTAATCTAGTGTGAAACTTTGACTCGGTGTGGGAACTTCCTGAAATAAAGACCATTCACTGCTGCTTTCTTTCCTTGTGCACAGTGACTGGTCTTGTCTCCGCCCCTCTTCTAGTTAATTGCAGCCTGTAGTAGGTGGAGCTATTGAGTCTCTTACATAGTACTGCTCTCTGCACAGATTATGTACAGCTCAGTGGTGATGCTAATGTCTGGATTTGCAGTGTTTGGTGCACACAAAATGGATTTATATTATTTTTGGCTGTTGAGGAATACAGTATATATAAACCAATATTTTTGTGCCTACATTTCAGCTTTAATCATGCAGACCACCACTTACAGCTTTAATCATGCAGACCACCACTGAGAATGCATCGTGTATACCTTTAACAGCCCAGGAACACCATAGGACTCTGAACTTTAAAGAACTCCAGGTATAGATATCTCCAGCTTGGACCAATGTATCTGTGGGGTAGATTTACTAAAACTGGTGCACTCAGAATCTGGTGCAGTTGTGCATGGTAGCCAATCAGTTTTTACATTCAGCTTGTTCAGTTAAACTTTGGCAATAAGGCCTGGAAGCTGATTGGTTTCTATGCAGAGCTGCACCTGGCTGATGCCACTGGAAGTTTGAAATCACTGAAGTAGACACCTCTACTCTAGTGATCACCACCTGTCTCCTAGTTCCATGCTGGAGTGGCTGCTATGCTGCTTTCTGATGTTCGGCATGGGTACCATTTTCTGAATGGATGAAAAGCATTCTTTTATTAGAGGATGGGGAATGGCGGAACAGTGATGTCATTTTCTCCAACTTGGCTAATCAGAATACATTTAGTATTCATTCAGAAAATGTAACGGATTCTCTGAATGACACCTGTGCCAATTGGCTGACCTTCTGTTTTGTAGTCATAATGAGGGAGATTTACTAAAACTGGAGAGTACATAATCTGGTGCAGTTGTGCATGGTAGCCAATCAGTGTCTAACTTTAGCTAATTCCATTAAAGTGGTAGTAAACTGCCACAAAAAAATAAATAAAATCAGGCCCTTGCAGGTTGAAGTCATAATGTAGTACTATGCACCACCTACTAGCACATTATGACAGACTTACCTGGACACGGAGCCGTCCAGCGCAGTGCTGTCACGGCTTCTGGATGCATCCAGTTTCACCTGGTCTTTCCTCTGGGCTCCTGGTCTCCGATTGTATAAATGGTCAGGGCCACGATGACATCACTCCCGCACAGGTGCCCCGGCACGAAGCTTTGAAGGTATGGCACGGGTATGCTGTTCCTTCAGAGCGCTTGCACCGTTAACATTGCATGCTGTGTGGATGTCCCCTAAACAGTGCAAGTTTAGGAGCTATTCACTGTACCAACAAGTTACTTCAACTTTAAGCTTTGGCAATAAAACCCAGAAGCTGATTGGTTCCTATGCAGAACTGCACCAGTTTTTGCACTTCCAGCTTTAGTAAATAACCTCCAATGCATCAGGCCAGCCATTCAGTACGGGACCCAGAAGCAAGTATAGATGACTGGAGCAACGGTGTCTACTCAGTGATTTCCAGCTTCCAGTGGCATCTGGCAGGTATGGTATATACATATTTTCATTGGTTCAAGCTGAACCAATGTAACTAAGTACAAAATATCCATAACCCAGAATTCAGCTTTAAATATAAAACTGTTGGACTGGTTTCTGTATATTTCTTAAAGATCTTTCCATTTGGCTCTCAATGTGAAAAATGTTATCAGTTTAGAATATATTTTGTAATATAAGCAGAAGCAGATAGGAATTCTCAATATAGTTTTCAAAAATATTTGCAATATATGCAGTTTGCCTTTTTTTTTTTTTTTTTTTAGAAACAGTGTTAATATATTAAAGGACTTTTGTACATTTAGCTAACAAAAATACTTTGAGACATATATATAAAACAGTGAATGTTATGTAAACATTCACTGCAGGTAACTCAATCATTGTAATTTATAACACATGCAGCAGATTCATCTGCAGTGAATGCTTGGTAAATGTCACCTTAGCTGCTTTATAATAATTGTGCCTCTTTATATACTGATTAACATGAGAAAGCAATATTCTGCTGTTAATTACATTGTAATAAGTTAGGGATAATTACGTGCTTGATTGAATGTTTTTTTTTAAAGGTACATACTGTATCTTGTTTTGTTCTCTGGATGTAAATGCAACAGTGAAGAGTTTGGATAAACACATCCTGTAGAAGTAGAAGATAACGTGTTTTGCTTTGTTTCATCTTTTATGTTTAGACTGTGTCAAATGGGCTTAGACATACAGTATTCAACACCCACACAATGTAATCTTCTACACTACAATGTGCTAAGTCGTATTGTAGCTACCTGTGTGTTATTGTACTGTGCGGTAGTGAGGAGTCTAAAATAAATTGAATAGAACATATTATGATATGGAAAGCTTAAAGAGTAACTTCACTTTGGTTGAGAAAAAAATAACAATCCCCTCTGGGTGATTAATATATAATAATAATAATATATATTATTTATTAACCACTTGCCCTCCAGAGGATTTACCCCCCCCCCCTTCTTGATCAGGCCATACAGCGCTGCGTTACTTTAACTAAGAATTGTGTGGTCATGCAACGCTGCACCCAAATTAAATTTACGTCCTTTTTTCCCCACAAATAGAGCGTTCTTTTGGTGGTATTTGATCACCTATTTGACAAAAAAAAAGAGACAATTTTGAACCCCCCCCCACACACTATTTCTGGGTTTTTGCTATAAAACATATTAATTTAAAAAATGTCAAAAATCAAATTTCGGCATAAATTTAGATCAAAATGTATTCTGCTACATGCCTTTGCTAAAAAAAGATCCCAATGTGTCTAATTTAATTGGTTTACATGAAAGTTATAGCGTTTACAAATGGCGGTATATATACTGGAATTTTTATTTTACATTTTTTTTTTTACTAGTATAGGCGGCGATCAGCCACTTATAGTGAAACTGCAGCACTGCGGTGGGCATTCTGACACTGGGGGGAAACTAACTTGGTGTCACTGAGATCCCCAGTGACACCAATACTGTGATCAGTGCTAATAAAAAGCACTGACACTGTCATAATGGCACTGGGCAGGAAGGGGTTAACATGTGGGGTGATCAAAGGGTTAACTGTGTGCTGTTTTACTATGAGGCTGTGTGCTGTGTTTCACTCTAAGCACACTGTTTTGTATGGCTCTGCTATACAAAGCAGTGTACAGGAGCTGACAGGGGAGAGATCTTTGTTATTTATACATTATATGTTCAGCAATCACTGGGTGCTGGTGAGAAATCACTGTCCGGGACCTGGTGATAAACAGCCGAGGTCGCGAACTGCCCCTACCCGGAACTGCAAAATCATGTATATATACCACCCGTGCCGCCCTGTAGCAGCATTTCTGCTATAGGGTGGCGCAGAAGAAGTTAATATTGGGAACCTAACAAACTTTGTAGCGGAGTCCTACCTGTTTCTGTTCTTAAGAAAAAGCTGTATGCTAAACCATGTCCTTGGGAGTGTCCATGAGTGTCTGTGAGTGTCTGTGTTCAATATATTCAGCTGGTGCACTTTCAGTGTTCTAATGAGGAAGGTTGCAGTGTCAGCATCCCTTTAGAATTAATTAACCCTTCGGGAGTATCTCACTATAAATATAATTCCTTTTGCAGAGGATGTCTACAATGTTACTTGTATCTTAGTGCAATCTTCTGGAAAAATCTGTGAGTTAATCGCACAAGCAGCAAATTACATTTCTGGGTAAGTTCTGTATACCAAATGTGTACAGAAAACCTAGGTTGCTGTATTGCATTGCATTTTACAGATGATTACAGCATCTGTAGACTGAAAAGGAAAGATAATTTTTAATAACATTAAATTGCAATATGACTTGTGTAGCAATTGTACATGCTATTCTTTTTATTTGCTATATTTTTTTCATGAAACATTACAACACTTGCTTCATTACAAACACATATTGCAACCATTTACAGAATATATATATCTATACAATTCAGTCCTTGTCCTTGGAGTGGTTTTCAGTTTTAAAGCAATTAATCATGGGGTGTTAATGATCGATGATCTCTATAGCAAAAATAATGTGTGGGTACCCAGACTAAGAGGGGAATCTTTCTTACTTTGTGGAGTCTTGGAGCAGTGACGTTGCAACCTCTACCTTGCCCAACCAGATTATGCCTTGCATTCACTGTGAAGAAAGCAAATCATTCTGTAAATGGCACCCATGCTGAGCAGGTGACCCCCTGTGTTCAATATGCAGCTGAGCACAGTGATGACTGTACTAGTAGAGACTCCTACAGTGATTTTCAGTTCCCATGGGGATCGCTCCGGTATTCCATAGGCATATTTACATTAGTTAAAGCTGAATCATTTCTATAAAATCTATACCTGCAATTTGGCTTTAACAAGTTAAAGCACTTTTTTATTTGCAATATTTTTAAATCTGCAGCTTTTGTTAAACTAATACCTGTCATGAAAACCCTTATGCAGACATTGCCTGCCTCTACTGTTGTAGGGTGTCATAGCTCAGTCCATGTCAAACAATTGTTCTCATGAGTCCCTGTTGTGCACTACAAGCTTTGGTGCAGATGCAGGCATATCGTCACAGTCAGGAACCCCAACAAAAAATGATTCACAGCAGTTTCTGGAGTGTAGAAAGAAATCAGCAAGTTTAACACAAGTATTCTATTAAAAAGGCAGTTTTTTATGATACACAGAGCCTTAGCAAAGTATTTACCATTCAATTAGGGTTTACATGTATTTAAAGTGTATAAATCTCTTGAGTTTTTAATCTAATTCTAATATTATCTAATCTTTAGTCTACAAATAAACATCTGACTGGATGCTTGGACTGGGCCATCTAAAAGGCATTAGTCACTATGATGACTTTACTTGCGTGTGTAAATTTCACCTTAAGCTGTTGAGGTCTGTGAGGATACATACAGTAGGGAAAATAATTACTTGATCCCCTGCAGATTTTGTACGTTTGCCCACTTACAAAGAAACGAAGGGTCTATAATTTTTATCATAGGTGTATTTTAAATGTTAGAGAGAGAATATCAATCAAACATCCAGAAAAAACACTTAATACAAATGTTAATCATTGAATTACAGTTCAGTGAGTAAAATAAATATTTAATCCCCTACCAATCAACAATAATTCTGGTTCCCACAGACTGGCTATGTGCTCATGTGGTACACAGATTAGTCCTGTAAATTTAAGAAGATGCTCCTAACAACAACTCCAGGGGCGGACTGACCATTTGGAAACTTGGGCGTTGCCCGAGGGCCCGGGGTTAGTAGGGGGCCCCATGAGATGCCCTTGGTACCTTTTTCATAGGCTTTTTTGAGTTTGGGCAAGGACACAGGGCCCCCATGATCCCCTATTGCCCGGGGGCTCCTGTGTCCTTCAGTCTGCCCCTGGACAACTCGTTATGTGTGTAAAAGACACCAGTTCACAGAATCTCTTTCCTGAGCATCACCATGGGCAAGACCAAAGAGCTGACAAAGGACATCAGGGACAAGATTGTAGACCTGCACAAGGCTGGAATTGGCTACAAGACCATCAGCAAGAAGCTTGGTGAGAAGGAGACAACTGTTGGAGCGAATATTCGCAAATGAAAGAAATACAAAATAACCATCAATCACCCTCGGTCTGGAGCTCCATGGAAGATTACACCTCATGGGGTAAGGACGATCATGAGAAAAGTGAGGGGTCAGCCCAAAACTACACAGGAGGAGCTTATAAATGATCTCGAGGCAGTTGGGACCACAGTCACCAAACAAACCATTGGTAACACAATGCACTGCCATGGATTGAAATCCTCTAGTGCCTGCCAGGTCCCCCTCCTCAAGAAGGTACATGTACTGGCCCGTCTGAAGTTTGCCAATGATCAACTAAATGATTCAGAGAAGGATATGGAGAAAGTGCTGTGGTCAGATTAGACCAAAATTGGGCTCTTTGGCATTAACTTGACTTGCTATGTTTGGAGGAAAAAAATGCTGACTATCCCTACAGCCAAGCATGGAGGTGGAAACATTATGCTTTGGGGCTGTTTCTCTGCTAAAGGTACAGGCTGACTTTGAGGGGTCAATGGACAGGGCCATGTATTGTAAAACCTTGGATGAGAACCTTCTTCCCTCAGCCAGAGGTTATGGATGGCTCTTCCAGCATGTGAATGACCCAAAACATACCACCAAGGCAACCAAGGAGTGGCTGAAGAAGAAGCACATTAAGGTCATGGAGTGGCCTAGCCAGTCTCCAGACCTTAATCCTATAGAAAATTTATGGAGGAGCTGAAAATTTGAGTTGCTAAGCAACAGCCAGGAAACCTTAAGGATTTAGAGAAGATCTGTAAAGAAGAGTGGACCAAAATCCCTCCTGAGATTTGTGCAAACCTGGTAACCAACTACAAGAAATGTCTTACCTCTGTGCTTGCCAGCAAGGATTTCTCCACCAAGTACTAGTCATGTTTTGCATGGAGATCAAATACTTATTTTACTCACTGAACTGCAACGCAATTTATAACATTTGTATCGTGTTTTTTTCTGTTTTTTTGGTTGATATTCTGTCTATCATTTAAAATACACCTATGATAAAAATTGTAGACTCTTCATTCCTTAACCTCCCTAGCGGTATTCCCGAGTGTAGCTCAGGGTAAAATGTCAGTGCCAAAAGCGGTAACCCCGAGCTACACTCGGGCTTACCATGCGGCGCTGCATAGGGAGTCCCTGCAGAGCTTACCTTGTCCTTCGCTCCCGCGATGTGTCCCCTGCAGTGTCCCCGGCCATCTCCTACAGCCAATGCCGGCATCCAGCTTCTGTGTTCTGGTCCCTGTGAGATCGGGATGTACGGGCGTTGGCGGCGGGAAATTTGAAAATTTAAAAAAATTTAATTTTTTTCCAAACAAGTTTTACATAGCAAAACATTGCTGTTTCAACCCATTTCACATACATTTTGTCCCTAGTGCTTTTTCCTGTGCCCTGCCTGCATTTTGTCTGTTCTTTCTGCCTGGAAACTGAGAAAAGTCCATGGCGTCCAAAAAGTGTCCCTTTAGGTCAAAAGCGGGTTTAGATCAGCTAGAGAACAGCGATAGTAAATCAGAACCACTTGCAGAATTGAGTGATAATGATTTCGTCATCAGACACTGAAAACGATTTTGCGACTTTGCTCAGCAATGTGTGAACTTGGCGCTCTATTTCAAATTTCAGTGTTTTTGGTTTGATTATATTATTGAATTAAATTTATTATTTTTATATTATTATTTTTTATGATTATTTATTAAATTATAATTTATGATTTCGTGTTTCAAATTTTATCATACCCGGGATGTTTAATAGACTCTTGTTCGGACACATTTCAGTGAGTTATTCCTAAAAATTACAGCCTACAATAAAAAAACTACATATTTCCATGCAAAATAATGGTACCGCTTTCAGCACCAAAAATCTGAAATAATCAGACCGCTAGGGAGGTTAAGTGGGCAAACTTACAAAATCTGCAGGGGATCAAATAATTATTTTCCCCACTGTATGAAAAAATATGTGAAAAGGAGTCTAAAAAAACCTACTAATTAGCAGTATATCAGTATATATTTCAACACTTTGAGCCCCAGTGATAATATTGTCACCAGTACAGAATAAGGGCACATTTCTTTGTCAAGGAAACAATAACAAAAAACATTTTGGTATAGAGGGGGAAAGCTTTGTATAGGTATCTGTGATTCTCTTATAGGTCAGGAGTACAATTATTGCCACATAATTATTTTAAATTTGTGACCCAGAAAATACTGAATGCAGAGGATCAGTATCACAGCCAGGCAACTAGCATTGCTGAAGAAAGGTGATCAATGATGACAGCTCCCTGTATTTATCTTATTACAGGTTCCCTTTATTGTAGGGTTAGCAGTATAAAAAAGGTATTATTAATGCCATCATCAATGACATTTGATGTATATTTTCCTCTTCCTTCTGCTGAGAATCTGATCGTTGCACGTGTTAATTATACAAATTGTTACGTGCCAGGTCCCGGTGTCTGCTTGTTGTAACAAATGACTTGCCCAGTGTGTACTGTGCTCCAGGGGGTAAGATTCTGGCACACATCCAACCTGTTAGCTGGTGTCAAAGCTCGTAACCTTACCTACCTCTGAGCCATCTCCTGCGGCATTTAAATACCGAAGATTCACAATTCTTTGTCAGAAACTCACAGCTACTAAAATCTGATTGGAGACACTTCAGCACTTTCTAAAAATATACAACAGGACTAGCACATAATTATGAAAAGGGCCCATTCTCCAGGATACGCAGCGCCTGTGGTTGATTTTGAACAGATTAAGCAATGTATAGCAGATATATTAATGATCATTTCTATGACAGGCTTTGGAGGTAAACCAATTTTGGAACAGAGATCTATTGAGCGCTTAGCTGTCCCATTATGTCAAACGGCAAATATGAAAAGCAGTACCCCATGTGAACTCTGAAGGAACCCTGGACTAAATCCCATGTATTTTGCTGAAATGATGCAGGAGGTAGCAATATGCAGAAGCCATTATAAAATGACCGTTCCCAGTGCTCTCTCCTGTTTTCTTTACTGCGGAATGTTACTAATGTTTTTAACAAGCCTAACGCCAGTTGTTTTTCCTAAAGAAAGCATATATTATTACTGGCTATAAATAATAATACATCTGTATATCCGAATTAAAAAAATGTAGAGAAGGATTTTTTAAGTTTATTATTTGTTAGAGAATTTGTTTAAATTAAACCTGAACTCTAGGCAGAATTAAAAAAAAAAACTATTGGCGCAGGTCTGTATTCATTAATTCACCAGTATTATTTGAAATGCAAAACATGTAAGTACCCTTTGCAATCCTGCTGTTCTCTGTCTCCCCCTTCTGTCCATGTCCCCAATGCAGTTGGAGATTTTCCAGAGGAGTGTTGGCAGCTACTGCACATGCTCAGTTTTCAATGAAATTCTATGCTGAGCATTTCCTCCCTATCACATCTGAGCAGCCCATGCGACTATAGAGTCACACATGTGGGCGTTTACACATTGGTAAATGGCAGCCCACTCCCTCTCTCCCCCCCCAATGCCAACTAACCTGCTAAACACTATAGGGGTGGGATATTACAACTTAAATGATGGAGGCTTCACCTCTCTGTAATTCAAAGACACAGGCTGGAGGGGCGTGGCACACCTTGCAACTGCCAGAAATCTGCACAAACCATGTTATTGCCAAAAATCTAAAGATTTGATTTCAGATATATATTTTATAACAATTTAAAGCAGTTTATTGATATTAATTATTTATTTTTACTCTGTATCCCAACGGCTGTTTTTTTCTATTTTGAACATGTGACCAGCAGCAGAGGGCTGGAAGCTCCTCTTGCCACTGTTTCCCTGAAGGCAGCTGTATATCAAATAGAAAAATGGTACTTAGATGTTTAGTTTTTTTTTTTTTTTAATTAAAATAATTACAGTGTCATCATCCACATACAGAAAGTGAAGGGATAATGTCAGGTAAACAGTATGTGTTTGGTATCACTTTAAAGAATATACCTGGGCAGAAAAAACAACCATATGCCATACATCTCTACAATACCTGCACATTTCCCCATGTGTTTTTCCTTCACAGGCTGAACAAGAGAAATCACTTGATTAATACTCGAGCAGTATGGATGGAGGAATCCCTCCTGCTGGCTATTGTATTCTGATAGCGGCTGCCCCTGTGGCTATCACATCTGATTGACTTCACTCGCTATTTGGCAAAATATTCTACAGTAGATGGCTTCTTCGATATTCCAAATAAAATTTATTGAGCCAGGTGATGCCGACAGGGCCATCAATGGCTCAAATTCTGGCCAAAATTTGGAATGTGTATGGCAAGCATAACTTGCTCATAATATAGTGTCTATGCTGCACTAAAATCCCAAGCAATCCCAAAAGTTGGATTACCTGTGCTAACTAAGAATGAGCTTGGGTTCAGTCCAAACCCATGTTTAGCCAAACCTGGAAAAATGCTATCAGTTATGGCCCAATCAGTTGTATCCGAGGTATTCTCTGCTCTGCAGCTGCACATTCACAGAGGAATGGAGATACATGTGATATAATTTACCTAATATGGCCATATGGTATTAGGTCCATGATATCTCAGGCATCCCCCCCTTTTGTGAACATGCAGCTGTGGGGTGGAGAAAGCCCCAGACACAACTGATTGGGACAGCACCGACAGCTTCTTTCCAGGTTTGGACCAAACTCAAACTCATCCCTACCTTTAACCTCCTGGTAAGTCTTTGTTTCGCTTTAGCCTTGTTCACACAGACTTTGGCTTTGTATAAGAGCAGTGCATGCTGCGAGCTTTTACAAAGTGTCTGTAAACCATTCAGCAAGTTTTGAGCAGCTTTGTGGAAAGGAAATGTTCAATTTGAGTATGGGAATTTTAATCATAGACCTTAATGGGAGTGCTGACTGGCACTTTAAACAAGCTTC